GGTTAAGTGGCTGCCTTTGGGAACAAGCCCCGCATCAGGGTTCCTGCTCAGCGGGGAGTCTGCTTCTCCCTCTCCCTCTGCCCCTTCCCCCCACTCGTGCTCTCTCTCAAAAATAAATAAATAAAATCTTAAAAAAAAAAAAAGGCACACCTCCCAAGAGGGAGCCTGGAGGAAGTTATCTTGCCTTCTGTAACCTAACCTCAGAAGGCACAGAGCAGAACTTCCCCTGTTCTCTACTAATTGAGACGGTCACAAAGCCCCACCCATTTTCCAGGCAAGGGGACATGGACCCCCACCTCTTGATGTGTGAGTGGCAAGGTTTGGGAAGAGCATGCAGGATAGGAAATATTATTGCAGCCCTTTTTGGAAAGTACAATTTGCCACAAGCAGGAAGGTCATTCCAGGTGGCTACCTGCATTGATGGTATCTCAGGAGATGCATTTTTCTAAGACAGCAGGCCATTTTCTCAGTGTGGGCATTGCTAAGCGAAAACATGAGACTTTAGAAATATTCACTGAAACATCTTTACTAAGAATTAGGAAACTCGGGCACCTGGGTGGCTCAGTTGTTGGGCATCTGCCTTCGGTTCAGGTCATGATCCCGGGGTCCTGGGATCGAGCCCTGCATCGGGCTCCCTGCTCCACGGGAAGCCTGCTTCCCCCTCTCCCACTCCCCCTGCTTGTGTTCCTGTTCTCGCTGTCTCTCTCTCTGTCAAATAAATTTAAAAAAAAATTTTTTTAAAGAATTATGAAACTTATTTCTCCAAAGGGGAGACTCTGAGTAAGAGGGAGATGCATACTGAACTCCCAAGGGGGTGAGAGGAGGCTGAGATGGATGGTCAGCCCCAGTTGACCAAGACAGTGGAGTCATGGTCATGGAGGGAGCCCATCATGTGAGGTTCTGCCAAGACTAATTCTTAGAGGGGGAAGAATGGTCTGGTGTCACCACAGCAAGTGGCCAGGAATACCCAGAGGCAGTGTCCAAGCTGAGTGAGAGCCACGGTGGGCAGGGCCCAAACAGGGCAGTAACAATTAACAAGCAGCTGTTGTATGGCCTGAGAGATAAGATGTACACACATTCACGTGGGAGCTCAGTTTTGTTGTAACACGGATGCAGGGAGCAGACTAGGAACAAGAGCTAGGTCAGAGATAAAATACAGCCCTATGGTTATAAAGCAGGTGGACGCTGAGATGAATAGGGAGTGAGATCAAGGATCCCAGGAGAGCCTGAGGGCCCAAAGCCCTTGGTGGGACTAGGGCCCAAATGCTCAGAACCTGTGTCAACCACCAGCCTTATAGGGAAAGATGGGTGAGCCTAGTTTAAAGGCTGAATGAGCCAGAAATGGCGAGATTCAAGCTTGGCTGTCTTGGGAACCAGAAGTAGGAAGTTTGGGAAGTAGGCAGTTTGTTCATGTCCCTACTGGGCCCTGTGTGGGCCCTGAGACCTGAAGGAGAAGGAGACTTTGGCTTCCATCTCCATGCATATTCCATGACCTACCCATATCAGTAATCACATTAAATCTAAATGGTCTAAACACCTCATTTAGGGACACCTGGGTGGCTCAGTCAGTTAAGCATCTGCCTTCGGCTCAGGTCATGATCGTGGGGTCCTGGGATGGAGCCCCACATCGGGCTCCCTTCTTAGCGGGAAGTCTGCCTATCTCCCTCTCCTGCTTCTCCCCCTGCTCATGCACGTGCACATGCTCTCTCTCAAATAAATAAATAAATCTTACCAAAAAAAGTAAGACTCAAGTATCTGTTACCTACAAGAAATGAACTTTAAATATAAAGACATTAATAAAAGGATAGGAAAGAATATACTATGATAACACTAATTAAATAAAGTTAGAGTTGCTATATTAATACCAGACAACATTTATTTCAGAGCAAAGAGTTTACCAGAGATAGATTCATTTCAAAAAGACAAAAGGATCGCTTCATCAAGAGGATGTGATGATCCTAAATGTTTGTGCCCCTTAACCACCAAACAGAGGACAGAGCTTGCAGTCCCTGGAAAATGGACAAAACAAGACAAAAATGTTAAGTTTAAGTTTCCACTGCTATTTTATACAAAAGTTACAGAGTACAGGCAAATTTTATGTAACATATAAAGGAGAAAACTGTGACCCATAGCCATAAGAAAACCAGACCCTCAGATGATCTAGTTATGGGAATTAGCAGACAATGACTTTAAAATGACTGTTATCCATGTGTTGAAGAATTTAAAAGAAAAAACAAATATAATGAGCCAAGAAGTAGGTTATTTCAAGAGAAACAGAAATTCTAAAAAAGAGCTAAATGCAAACTGTAGAATTGAAAAATATAATATCTGAAAATAAAAATGTCCTAGAGGGACTTAACAACAAATTGGACACTGCAAAAGAAGAAATTAGTGATTTGAATACAGGCCAATTGAAATTATCTGAATTAAAGCAAAGTAAGAAAAAATGTTTGACAATCATTAAGAGAGCATTCACGTGCTGTAGAACAATAGCCAGGAGTCTCATATACGTAGGATTGGAGTTCCATAAAGAGAGGAAAGAAACAGTGGGGTAGAACAAAATATTTAAAGAAACAGTGGCTGAAAATAATTCTTCACAGGTCCAAGAGGTTTAACAAGATACAAGCAGGGTAAATACAAAGAAAACACACTTGGCACATCAAATTACTGGAAACCAAAGAGAAAGAGAAAAATATTAAAACCAACCATAAAGGGAGAAAAAAGATGCATTACACAGTGGGAGCAATGATAATTATGAGAGCTGTTTTTCATCAGATAGAGTATAAGCCAGATCCCCATTAACTGGGAAATAAACAAAATGTGCTATATTCATACGATGAAATACTATTCAACAGTAAAAAGAAATGAACTACTGACATATACTAAAATATGAATGAACTTTATTTTTTATTTTATTTTATTTTTTTTTAAAGATTTTATTTACTTATTCATGAGAGAGAGAGAGAGAGAGAGAGAGAGGCAGAGGGAGAAGCAGACTTCCCGCAGAGCCGGGAGCCCGATGCGGGACTCGATCCCAGGACTCCGGGGTCATGACCTGAGTCGAAGGCAGACGCTTAACCATCTGAGCCACCCAGGCGCCCTGAACTTTATTTTTTTTAAAAGATTTTATTTATTTATTTGAGAGAGAGACAGAGAGAGCATGAGCAGGGGGAGGAGCAGAGGGAGGGGGAGAAGCAGCCTCCCCGCTGAGCAGGGAGCCCAATGCGGGACTCAATGGGAGCACCCTGAGATCATGACCTGAGCCGAAGGCAGACACTCAACCAACTGAGCCACCCAGGTGCCCCATGAATGAACTTTAAAAACATTCTAAGTGAAAAGAGACAGATGCAAACAACCATATATTATATGATTCTATTTATGTGAAATGTCCCAAAACGGCAAAACTATGGAGGCAGAAAGCACATTAGTGGTTGTCTGTGGCTGCAAACAGGAACTGGGCTTGATCGCACGTGGGTTACAGGGATTGCTTTTGGGTGTTGGAAATGTCCGAAGACTGGACTGTGGTGATAGTTACACAACTCTTTAAATTTACTAAAAATCATTGAGCTGTACATTTAAAATGTGTGAATTTTATAATAAGTAAATTATATCTCAAGAGAGCTACTATAAGGTAGTGATAGAGAAAAGCCACAGACTTGAAAAAGATAAATGAAAAGAATATAACTGAAAAGGGATTGTTCGCCACAATATATAAAGAATTATTACAAATCAAGGGGAAAAAAAGATTAACAATACAACTGAGAAAAGGTTAGAGATAAGAATAAATAGAAGGCAATCCTTTTTTTTTTTTTTAACATGAAATTTTTTTTAAGGTTTTATTTATTTATTTATTTGACAGAGAGATAGAGAGCACAAGTAGAGTGACAGGCAGAGGTAGAGGAAGAAGCAGGCTCCCCGCCGAGCAGGGAGCCCGATGCGGGGCTCGATCCCAGGACCCTGGGATCATGACCTGAGCCGAAAGCAGACGCCCAACCGACTGAGCCACCCAGGCACCCCTCCTTTTTTTTTTTTTTAAGATTTTATTTATCTATTTGTCAGAGAGAGAGAGAGAGCACAAGCAGGGGGAGAGGCTGAGGCAGAGGGAGAAGCAGGCTGCCTGCTGAGCAAGGAGCCCGATGCGGGACTCGATTCCAGGACCCTGGGATTGTGACCTGAGCTGAAGGCAGACGCTTAACCGACTGAGCCACCCCAGGCATCCCAGAAGGCAATCCTAATGACCAATAAACATATGAAAAGGTGCTCAACTTTGTTAGTGGTTGGTAAAATGCAAATTAAAATCACAGTGTTCTATAATCTCACATCTATCTGGTTGTCCAAAAAAAAGATCTGATGATCCAGGTGTTGGCATAAATGTGGTAAAGTTAAAGATATCCAGACCATCAACCATGTGGGTAGAGTCCTGAAGAAATTCAAATGTACACAATAAGATGTGTAGGAGAATTTCCATAGTAGTAAGACTGTGTTATAGTAGCAGAAACTGGAAACAAGAGAATCCCTAAGTTGTAATATAGTTGTAAATGAAATGTTATACAGCAGTGGAAATGAGTAAACTAAAGCTACGTGAATCAACATTAATGAACCTTACAAATGGAATGTTGAATCAAAAGGAAAGTTCTAGAAAAATTTTATACGCAGTATGAGTCCATTCAAATAGTTAAAATATGCAATGCATATATAGTGTATAGTGTAGTAAAAGTATAAAGATATACATGGAAATGATTAACAGCAGGTTCAGAATAGTATTTCCCTGGGCGGGGCAGGGGGAGTAGGAGCTTAAACTATATTTGTACTGCTTTATTTCTCAAACTATAGGTGTTTATAGGTGTGATGGCTAAATTTTATATGTCAGTTTGACTGGACCATGGGCTGCCCAGATATTTGGCCCAAATTATTCTGGGTGTTTCCGTGAGGGTGCTTTTGGATGAGATTAACATTTACATCGGTGGACTGCATAAATCCAATTGCCCTCCCTAATGTAGGTGGGCCTCAGCCAATCAATTGACCCTCCGTGGAATAAAAAAGAATTCATACTGCCTGACTGCCTTTGAACTGGGACATCAGCTTCTTCCTGGGTCTCCAGCCTACTGGCCTCTGGACTAGTATACCATCAGCTCACCTGGTTCTCAAGCCCTCAAACTTAGATTGGAACTAAGTCATTGGCTCTCCTGGGTCTCCAGCTTGCCAACCCACTCTGCAGATCTTGGGACTTGTCAGCTTCCATAATTGCCTGAGCCAGTTCCCTACAGATGAATGAATACATGAATAAATAAATAAACAAACATTCTATTGGTACTGTTTCTCTGGAGAACCTTGACTAATACAACAGGTATGTTTGTTAAATTATTTCCTATACCTTTGGCATGTCTAAAATATTTCATAATAAAATTTTGAATAAATAATGAATGAGTGGTTAAGATTTCAGGTGCTATAGAGGTCAAGCAACATGAAAACTGGAAAATGGGGGCACCTGGGTGGCTCAGTCGATAGGCTCAGGTCAGGATCCTGGGGACCTGGGATCAAGCCCCGCTTCGGGCTCCCTGGGCTCCCTGCTCAGTGGGAGCCTGCTTCTCTCCCTCCCACTCCCCCTGCTTGTGTTCCCTCTCTCTGTCAAATAAATAAATAAAATCTTAAAAAAATAAAAAACACCACACATTAGGGGAGTCTGGGTTGCTCAGTTGGTTGAGTGTCTGACTCTTGGTTTCAGATCATGCTCTCATGGGTCCTGGGATCCAGCCCCACCTCCAGCTACTGATCAGTGGGGAGTCTGTTTGAGGAGTCTCTCCCCCGCCCTTCCCTCCACTTGTGTTTTCTCTTGAAGGAGCTCTCTCTCTCAAATAAATAAATCTTAAAAAAAAAAAAAAAAGAAAGAAAGAAAATGCATATTAGATTTGGCTTCTGAAGCCAATGATTACCTTTGCTGGAGCAGTTTTGGCACTGTGTTCAGAGTGGAGGCTTGCTGGTGATGGGTTTTAGAGAGACAAGGAGTACACATACCCTATGCACCAGGTCTGTTGCTAGAAACGGGCGCAGGGTAGAGGAAGGAGTTTAACAATGAGTGACTTCACTTCTTGGGGCTTCCATACTAATTCTGTTGGAATTATCAGAGTGCTAGTGCTCCTTTGGTCCCTGTTCCTATTCCAGTAAAGATTCTAGAAGACTTGAATTTCATACCTTGGGTGTAGAAAAAGATTTTTAAAATAACTAACCACAGATGCAAATACCCTAGATGTCAGCTTTCTTAACTGTGGCTTTCCAAAGAGTGTTAAGAACAACCTCTTTCCACGGAAAGTAAGACATAAAGCCATGATTATCACATGTTAGCCCCAGGTCTTAAGGGGGAAATGTCAGACTCACAATAAATTAAGCTATAAGTTCAGGAAGGCTCTGCACTGCAATAAGAAAGGAGAGAGACGGAGGAGAGGTTTTTCTTCTTCTTCTTCTTCTTTTTTATTTTTATTTTTTTTTGTTGAGTGGTTTAATTTGGCTAATGGAGTGTTGCTAATGATTTCCCAATTTAGGTTCGCAGAGCTCCGCAGCAGGGAGTTCTTCCAAGTCACAGGGGCTGAAAGGACGCACTAGTCTGTCTCACTCCTCCCAGAAATTCAGTCTGGGTTTTACTCTAACTTCTTCTGGGTCTCATCAGAGGAGCTCCAGATGAGGAGATTCTTCGCTGGGTTACTTCTTCCTACCCCTCCCAGACGGATTGCAAGCTTTTTCCAGTACTCCATTCTCCCTGGGGCTTTCCCGGGTTGCTGCAGAGAGAAACCCGCCAGCAGGGGTCAGCAGTGTCTCACATCTGGCCTGGAGCCGCTTGCCACATGGGCTGTTTCTCCTGGCACCTCCAGGGCCGATGGGGAACTGGAGAATACCTTCCTGGTAAGGCCTTGGCATCACTCTGAGCATCGCCGGCTCAAGATTCCTTTTCCTGAATGTGGAGTACCATGGGGAGATGGAAGGTATGTTCATTCAAAGGCCGAAGTGGGTGTGGGTGTACACACATCCAGACATCTGCACCGCCAAGTCACCATCTGGTTTTCTACCAGGCTTTTCTGTGTCTTGGCGCGGGCCATGCATTGTGTGGATCTGGATGTCAGAGGACGTGTGTCTCGGCTTTGCCCTGTTGAAATTTCCTCAGCTCCCTGGGATTTCTGGATTCGCTCAGCACCCAGGCGCTCCGGGAGGGTCGCTTGCTTCGCTCTCCCACGGCTTAGACCAGCGCTTGCGCCGCGCTCCCACGGTGCCTGCCCAGGCCACGCCTCCACGCATGCTCAGTGTGGAATGGAAGCCTCCCCGGGCTGCAGCCTCCGGAACGAACGTCTCGGCGGCCCAAGCCACGCAAGAGCGAGTTCTGCTCTCGTTTCCAGACTCTTCCTCATCCTTGGCCCCACTGCCAGTCTTCTCCCCAGTTCTAGCTCTCTTTGAGTCCTCTGGTCCACATTGCTGCTCAGCTTCTACATTGCTGCTGACAGAGGGATGGATCCCATGGGAGGTGTCTGTCTCTCCCCTTGCTCCTCTGTCTCCCCCACCCCAGTGTGGTAGGGGTGGGAGTAGTCAGAGAACCAGCCGGGGCGTGTGGGACAGCGATACAGCTGGGAGCAACTCTGGGCTGGAAAGGGTTCCCAGTCTGTAGCTGAGATTCCCAGGGCCCTGGCACTTTCCAAGCAGCCTCCTGGAGCGAACTGCTGTGACAGCCAGAGGCTGTCCTTTCCACCTGCCAAAAGGAGGAGTTCTGCAAGCCGGGGCACCTGGCCTCCTTTCCCAGGAGTAGAGTTACAGCAGCTGATCTAGGCAACAGGTGTAGGTTGCATGGTACAGCTGCTGCCCAGCACATCTGTACCCATGGGGTGGGGGGGGGGGGTGCACGCGCGCGGGCGCGCGCAGCAGGAGGGTTCGTCAATCATTGCCACACTCCCCAAAGCTGAAGGGGGTGTGCAGAAAGGGCCAGGGGGTGCGAGAAATGTGGAAAACTGGGATAAGCATTCACAGAGTACTTCTTTCCTAGAGTTCCCAAAGTAGGACCCCTTGCCAGGTTGCCCCAAAATCAGCCTCGCTGGCGGCAGCTTGCGAGTCAAAGCCCTGAGTCCTCCTCCTCTGTCTTGCTGCCCAGTGTTTTGGCTGCAGCCAGCTCCTCTCCCTTCCCGGTTGGCTCAGCTCAGGCCTTTGCGGGCTGGAGCTCAGAATCCTGGCTCCTAGTGGCTCTCCCAGAAAGCTGGGAGGGAAATACTTGAAAGAATGGCTCTTTATATATGCAAATGATTTCTTGCCACTTTAGTTCCTCAAACCACAGAATTAATTGAAGGGGGAACATTCTGGGGCTCTGGGTCTGTGCCAGGTACTGGGTCCAATGCTTTACTTACATCACCTCATCAAATCCTCCCCCAAACCCTGCCAGGTACATGTTGTCAGGATCATTTCTGTTTCATAGGAGAGAAATCAAGGTTATGGTCAGCACAGAATACAGTGAATCTGACACTCGAATGCTGCCCGAACTCCAAAGCTTGTACTCCATCTGCTGTATACACTGCCTGCAACCTCCCAATCCCCGGGAAATCCCACATTAGGCCCCATCCCTCTTCCCCCTGTAGGTAATTCCCCAACTCATCCATTTCTGTTTAGTGCAGCCAAAGTCACCTCTATAACCTTTATCGAGAGGTTCATTTGGCAACTCACAGCTCTCCAACACCTCCGGTCACCCCACCATCACCCATCAAAGAGGATGCCATAGCTGCTACCTCCTTGTCAAAGGCTTCTCACACCCAATTTCCTTCCCTTGGTCCAGGCTGCTCCCCTTCAAGCCCTATCATGGGCCTGAAACTCTTTTGCCTCTATCTATCCTTCTTTAGTGGTCCCACTTCACACCTCGTTTTTCCCTCTCAAGACACTTTTTTTCTTACTATTTTAAGAATATTTATTGATATAAGAGGGGCGCCTGGGTGGCTCAGTCGGTTAAGTGTCCGACTCTTGATTTCAGCTCAGGTCATGGGATCGAGCCCCCACATCGGTCAGGCTCTGAGCTCAGGGTGGAGTCCGCTTGTCCTCCCTCTGCTCCTCTCTGTCTCTCTCTCAAATAAATAAATAAATAAAATCTTTTTTTTTTTAATTTTATTTATTTATTTGACAGAGAGAGACAGTGAGAGAGGGAACACAAGCAGGGGGAGTAGGAGAGGGAGAAGCAGGCTTCCCGAGGAGCAGGGAGCCCGATGTGGGGCTCCATCCCAGGACCCTGGGATCATGACCGGAACCGAAGGCAGACGCTTAACGACTGAGCCACCCAGGCGCCCCAATAAATAAAATATTTAAAAAGAGAGAGTCTAGCTTGGCCTCCACTCCCTGTCAAATGGGCAAAGCTGGCTACATCATTTCTGGGATCCAGTGCAAAATAAAAATGTGGGTTCCTTTGTTTAAAAAATTATTAAGAATTTAAAGATTGCAACAGCAAAGCATTAAACCAAACCAGGGGTCCTTCTAAGTATGGGGTCCCATGTGGCTGCACAGGTCACATGCCCATGAAGCTGGCCTAACCATGGGCTCTACAGAGACTGGCTGTCTCCTAGATGCCTTGAGTCAATGCATCCCCTGTTCTGAAAATGGACATTCCTGCCTCAGCCTCCACATTGGCTCTTGTCCCTTGATTCTGCACCCAGCCTTCCCCAGCTGCATTCTCTGCACCAAGGCCAGCATGCTGGTCATTCCAGCTCTAGCACAAGCAAACTCCCGGGGTCCATGTCAGCCAGGCCGCATTGTTCTGGGGGCACCCACAAAGAGCAGGGTGCAAGACAATGACATCCCTGTGCCTGGGGTAGAAAGTCTCCCCAGAGATAAGAGAGCACTGAACTATCAACCAAGAGACCTGGGTTTCAGTTCCAGCCCTGCCATTAAATTTGCTGTGTGCTCTTAAGGGGCAAATTGCTCAACATCTTGGCACCTCAGTTTCTTTAGCCCTTAAAAGAGAGGGTGGGATGAGATCGTCTTTAAGACCACTCCCAGTTCTACAAGTGTGTATTTAAATGACTCTAAGAGACTATAACGATAACCACCTTTGCTTGAGCATTTACCTTATACCATTTGCAGGCTTGCTTATTTATTTATTTATTTATTTATTTATTTATTTATTTATTTTTAAGATTTTATGTATTTATTTGACAGAGAGAGACACAGTGAGAGTGGGAACACAAGCAGGGGGAGTGGGAGAGGGAGAAGTAGGCTTCCTGCTGAGCAGGGAGCCCAATGCGGGGCTCCATCCCAGGACCCTGGGATCATGACCTGAGCTGAAGGCAGATGTTT